AACATACTAAACACTTTGACTTGCAGTATTTTAGGGATTCAGTCAGTGAGTCATGAAGTCAGATTACATCAACAATGCAAACAAAACTGTGGCTTCATGACCCCATGTTTCATGAAAGAATGACATGTAAACAAGTGGACTACACTAGACATTGCATAAATATATAAAATAAATGTGTTTGTAAAATTAAGCCTACCAACTGACCAAAATGATTTTGTTTTTTTTTTCTTCGTCAAATTTGCAGTCTGCGATTTGAAAACTGCATTCTACTACATTGCGATGTCGATTTAGATTTGATAAATTGTTCAGCCCTACAACTGGCAAATTCTTAACAACCAATTAATTACTATTATGCAATCAATCAATCAGGCAATCCTCTGAACTCACTTGACTGTATGCTCCCTGGTAAAAAACCGGATGTGAGCGACCGTACTTTTCCTCAAAACTACGAATAAATGAAACAACATCCCCAACGGGGTCTGTAACACGACCACGGGGGTCCGGCCGCACGAACCGCAGGGCAAACCTGGAAGACAAAATAGAGCCCTTCTGTGATCTGTCCCCAAGCTCAAGGTCCATATCAATTTAGTCATCTTACCTGAATATGTCCAGAAGTGTGTAATAAGTAAATCTGAAAGGTAGCATTATCAAGTAATAACTCCATCCTAGCAAACCCTGGAATACAAAGCCAATTAAATCAATGAGTGGAAAAAAATTGGAAATCTTATCGGGTTGTTTCATTTCAAACTTGAGCTCATAATTTGTCCAAAAGCAATAAAAAGTCATTTTTCCAGTAGAAGGCAGCAGACCTACCCTGGGTTGTGGCCTGGAGACAATATAACTATATACTCGGTGGTCTGTTGTGTTGACCTGTAATGGTCTAGATGGCGGAGGGTTGAACACACTGGGCACGCCTTCCTCCTCGTTGAGCCTGTCTTGTACTGCAGCCTAAAAGGCAAAACATTTAACTTAATCATGACCCCAAAACATTTAACTTAATCATGACCCCAAAACATTTAACTTAATCATGACCCCAAAACATTTAACTTAATCATGACCCCAAAACATTTAACTTAATCATGACCCCAAAACATTTAACTTAATCATGACCCCAAAACATTTAACTTAATCATGACCCCAAAACATTTAACTTAATCATGACCCCTGAAGGAAAAAGTCAAAACTGACAACAGGAACAACACTTTGGGGGACTATGATGAGGCTATACAGTACTCGCCAGGTACACCTGAAGCCCAACTTCTGACCAAGCACGAAAAGCCCTTCTCCAGTGGTGGGATCATTAAAAAACTATATTATCAAGTAATAACTCCATCCTAGCAAACCCTGGAATACAAAGCCAATTAAATCAATGAGTGGAAAAAAATTGGAAATCTTATCGGGTTGTTTCATTTCAAACTTGAGCTCATAATTTGTCCACAAGCAATAAAAAGTCATTTTTCCAGTAGAAGGCAGCAGACCTACCCTGGGTTGTGGCCTGGAGACAATATAACTATATACTCGGTGGTCTAATGGAAAAACAAGGAATAAAGGGAGGGCAAGGATAAACCTTCATGGGCCCGGTACAATGTAAAAAAGCATCTTCATTGACATCAATCCCCTCAATATTGCGATTGCGATTTAATGTGCATTATTTTTCCAGGGACCTCGCCCATTGTTTTTTTTTTTTAAACAAAGACAAGCAATTAATTCACCTGTATTACAATAAACAATATCAAATTGAAAATGGAATTCTCTTATAGCACTTTATCTACACCACAAGGTTCCCAAAGAGCTTTACAAAGTCTCACATTCACCCATTCATGTACACAATCATACACTGTGAGGCTGCTGCCATGCAAGGCGCTGCCAGATCCACCGGGATTAGGGTTCAGTGTCTTGCTCAAAGACATTTCGACAGGACATGAGTAGATTAACAATCCATCCATCCATCCATCCATCCATCCATCCATCCATCCATCCGTCTATCTATTCACCTGCCTGTCATCCATCCTACCTGCCTACCTGCCTGCCTACCTACCTACCAGGTTGAAGACACAAAGCAGTGATTCTCAACTAGTTAGCCATTTTGGGTGGGTTGAGGACAGCAAGGATGTTTTCATATTCAGATTTTTTTTTCCCGGAGCAGTGCAGAGGTGTACCAAGTTCGCACAAGAAAAATATTAGGCCAAACAAAAAAGATAGTGTGTTTCCGGTAACATGAAATTTCAGCATAGGGTCGGTAGGTCGGACAAAGTTTTTTTTTTTTCCATCAAAAATTTAAACAAAATAACCATAAAACATAAAACAAGAAGACATTGAACCCGCCGCTCCGCGGCCGGCGCCACCGCCACCTATTTAGTTTTCTCCCCGCTCCGGACTCGGGGGGCCGGGGCGCGCCGCCGCCGTCCTCCTCCGCCCTCGGTTTTTACTCGGCCCGTAGTGTTCATCAAATAGTTCGCTGAATTTTTTGGATACATCAATGGATGCTATTTTCTTAAAATTACGTTGTGAGCATACGACTGTAACACAGAAAACGCGGTTTAAACTGTCATCGGAGATCGCGGCCGCCGCCATGTTTCAATGTTGTTGACAGACAACAGGGCAAACGACGCACGCGCTCAATGTGAATATCGCGAGTTTGCACCGATGTAAACCCTCTACACAAAAATGTAGAGGGTTGTTTGAAAAAAATGCTGACCGTCAAGTTTTTTTTCGACGTAGAAATTCTCGGTCGGTCGGGTTACCGGAAACACACTACTTTTTTTTCTACGCCTTAGGTAAGCGACGGACGGGAATTGTCACCCACTTAAACAACTACAATGTGGCTTAGCCTTTGGACAGCAATATGTGATTGGTGGCAGGCAAAAAGCATTCGAATCAACATTTAAAAATCTTGTTTGCTGTACATGTATTTTCAGAGGTAATTTTACACAAAAAAAAAATGCTGAACTCCTTAATCTCAATAAAAATATGTTGCAACAATAGGAAGATGGGGGTCGCAGGTTGACATTAGTCGAGACCTACAGGGTAATTTTCTTTTGAAAACCCCCAAAAACATTTCTTAGTACGGTGCACTGCAATTTTACACTAAGCCAAACTACAGCTACAATGGTATACGCAAACAGAATTTGCACATTATTGTTGAGGCCAAACGTTTCATGGTTGTGGCTGACATAGAACTATATGGTGTGACAAAAGTTGACTTGTCAGCATATGAAAGCTTTGGCAGGTTACCTCAATGTTCCAATTATGCTGCTCTAATGTGCGTCGACATTGATCGATTGATTCCAAGCCGGTAAGGTCCTGTCAGAAAGAAAATATATGTATGAAGTGTACAAACTCAAACATTACTTGACATGCAAGTTAACAAAGGCAAAATTGACATAAAACACAACAACATTTCTAGCATGAAGCGGAAGCTTAGCAGAGGAGCTACTCGCTCTCGAACTGCCCACCAAGGAAACTGCACTATGATACAGTTCCAATAGCGGATTAAAGCATGCATTGGATCGTTTTCATTATAATAATCCGAAAGTTGTCCAAAGATGACTTCAAAGACACGTGGCAAAACTTTAGTGACAGCTAGGTCCTGACTGTCGTGATAAACTGAACTCATTGAAACAAGGGGTCGGCGATGTCGTGACACCAGAGCCGTAATATCAGCGAATCAGATCCAAACTAATGTTTAGTTAACACCGGAGCATTACGTCTTGGGCTCTGTTGAAGACACGAGCGATCGTCTGCAATTCAAATCAATTCAATCCCCTTGAAAGTCCGCTGACTCGCAAGATATGCTAGCTAATGCTAGCTTTGGTTCTAACGTTAGCGCCGAAGTTGCTCAGTCTCGAAGTTGACTGTGTGAAAAAGCTTCAAACACTTGACAGTTGGACCACCGGTGCCAGTTGGCGCTCAAAGAACACACCCCATTGTATGATGGCAAAAATGAACTGGCTTCGGGTCGTGTATTAGTCGTCGTTCACCTGAAATTGGAGGAGTTTTTCGGTCTGCGCCTGCGATAATTCAGGCTCCTCTGGCGCCGCCATCTTAGCTCGCCAATCACCTAGCAAGCCTCAGCAACGTCAAAGCAGGAATTCGCCGAGCTCGAGCAGCACACTGCTGACACCTGGTGGCCTGGATGACGTGGCACTCCCATCAACCGCCAATCAAACTGAGACTCAAATGTCGGGACTTCATGTTTTGTTCATTAGTTTTAAAATCAAAAACAAAAACGACAAACGTAAAAAACATCCATCATTATATTTTAGGATCGGGTAAAATATTTATATTTTGAAAAAATGGCTACAAGACTGTATTTAATTTCAATATTTAATTGGTCGTTTATGTGATCAACTACCATTTTATTTACAATTAATTGTATATTTAATAAAATAGAGGGAAAATTACATGTCGACGTGAATATTAACGTGGCTTTCTTTATTTTCGTATTGACAATTAATGAGCCAATTATTAAAGTAAACAGAAAAAAGACTACACCACAACTACAGAGCCTCACATCCACCCATTCGTGCACAACACAAGCTCAATCATAAAGTAGCATTTTTGGGGGGTTCAATTAATGCAACAAACCTGATTATGTAAATCCTCAGTGGGCTGGATTGAAGATTTTTTTTACTTAGGACTGCAAAATATATTGAAAAATAACATCATCATGATAATGGAAAATGTGATTTATGCATAATCACAAAGAAGTGGGATAAATGATGGTTGGATTGTACAGTATGCTTTTATCCTATTTTGAAATAATGTAATGTTTTTTTTATGGTACAGGTTAACATACTACAATAACATATTTTATGTGACATCTAGGCTCTGGGCTGCCTGCTTTCCTGCTCCCTCTCTCTTTCTTCTATATATATATAGATATATATATATATATCTATATATACACACACACACACACACACACACACACACACGCACACGCACGCACACACACTTAAACATTAACACAATCAGACAATCATTTAGCACCACCATTGTAAAGGCAAAACCTATAGTTTTGTTTCTGGGTGAGATACAATAAGGACATTTCTAGGGCTCTGGCATGTGGTTCATTTTATATAATAGCCAGTGGATCAGTTAACAGGCATACTCAGTAATTGCTTATTGTGTACAACATTCCAACTTTAATATTGTCCTTCAAAGGCAGTCCCATACCTTCAATGGACTCGACTAACTATTCATTCATTACTTTGAGTTGTGTGAATTTAAATAGTTAACCAAATAACATGGCCGTGTTCAAGTAATATGACAAAGTAATAATTTCATTTTTTTTAATCTTTCTTCTTTACAGACATTGCATCAAGGGACCAACTGGAATAATAATATTTACAATCGAGCAAAATGTAAAATTGAATGTCCCAATTTAGTGTGGTGCCCCATTACTTTTTCCCCTCCACCATAATGATGTGGTAACCAAATTTGGTCTTGACAGGAGGGTCTGTGTAAACAGGCTTATCCATAGAAGAGATGGCCAAGTTAAAAGCGGCCTCTTGGAAAGGTCCAACCATGGATCCTCGGGTCATCCAACCCAGATCACCCTGTCCAAAACATTGAAGATTAGCCAAAATATTTTCATGATAAATTCCGTACTTAGTTCTCTTTCCTTTCCAAAACAATTGTACAATGACTACAATCAAAAGAACACCAGTGAAATTCGGTTTTGCAGTTAATGCTAAGGAACGACTTGAATAAAAGTTGTTCTTACTCCTTGTCTCGCTTTGTCTTCACTATACTGTGACGCAACTTCGCTGAAACGAACTCCCGCTTTCAATTTCTCCATTGCCTCCATGCATTTCCCATGTTTTTCGCAGAGGATGTGGCGAACCTGGTCGAAATTGCACGCAAGTACTTTGGCTTAGGCCAACCAAGTAGATAGACAGAAAAGAAAGAGTAAAAGAGATACAGTATCAAACCTTAACAGCAGTGCCTCCTTTTGGTGCCTTCTCCTTTTTCTCAGTTTCTGCACTTCCTGATGCACCTCCTGACCACAATATTAAGAAATGAGGAACTGTCAAGCAGCCTATGTACTATACATATAACACAGTAGATGCATGGAATAAAACTACAGTAGCAAGTCTACGCCACAATACGAGTCCTGATTTGAGACAATATGAACATTTTCAAGCAAAAACAAAAATGCACAACTAATTGAGTACGAACCTTTCGCACCCTTGCCACCTTTGCCCTTTGGTGGCATTTCAAGTGACTGTTTCGTGAAATTCAAACAAGGGAGGACGATGTAAGGAACACTTTCTGGCTTTCGATCATGTTTGTTAGGTTGCCCACGCGCAGTAGACGAGACGTGTGTACTGTCTTTTTCTACGGCGACATATTGCTACATTGCAGCCAGCTCATGTTTATTCCGCCATCTAGTGTACAGCAAAGTGTTGTTGAGTTGTTGACAAGACACGAAGTGCTTTCTCAACATTAGATTTTTTTTGCCACTTTCTGATCCTCCTGATCGGATTTACATTCACAAAAACATGATAATTGTGTTAATATTTTCTACTCCACAATTTAATTATATGATATTTTACCCTCCTCATTTTTTGACACCCTTGTTCTTCAACATTTCTCAATTGATTCTGACCAGTCCAATTTACCAACCATGCTATCTTACCAACATATTCCAAACATTCACATCAGGCGGGCTACTGTGTTTTTCCATTCCAACAATCACAGTTTTTCCATCACAAAAAAATCATCATTCGTTCCCAATGACACATTCAAGATCACCGATTCACATCATTCTCATTTGAAATTAAAAAATGCCAGCTCATTCAATTCACATTGGGAACAAATTTCAACATTCCCACAATTCCCAAACATATTGCATATTTTTCACCAATATAATTCCACATCATGCCAGATCGTTCTATATAATTTCACATCATACCACATTTTCACCATGTTACACATTTTTCACCAGTAAAATTCCACATTGTTCAATATCATTCCACATATTTTCCAAAAATTATCGATCAGTTAATAGCATTCCATACCGCTCTTCTACATATTGCACTTTTTTCAACAATATCATTCTACATAATTAATTATCCATCATCCATCCATTCAATATTATTCCATATTGTTCCACATAATTATATTTAATTCAATATCATTCCACATGATTTCATATTTATTCATTCAACATTCCAGCATTTTTTAGCTTTTTTATTGTTTATCCTAATTTTTTTTTATATTTGCTCAACTAAATTGGCAATACTGTAACTATCATTTATAACTTTATAGCCATTGCATTGCGAGGCGTGTCACAAAAATACAATTACGATACTGGAAAGGTGTGGACCCAGAGAAAACTTAAAATGAATTATGGAGTCACATCTAGTTTTCGGGATATAACGTTTAATATTTTTAACACATAACAAATATAATGAATAGTTGAGCCAAAAGCACACTAACAGATTTACTTTTGGAGAAAGGTACAAATGTAGGACTCCATCAACATTTCTTAACGCAACACAAAAGAGCCTCCTCTCAGTTTTCAAAGCGTCTGGTCCCTATAGCAACCACAACACAAAAGACCTTGCTAGCAGTCTTGGATAGAGCAGACAGCCTCACGGCTCTGCTCGAGATAATGGACAAGTACGAGAAGGTGATGTGTTTGGGCCGAGGAGCATCAGGAGAAGTTTTCCTGATGAGACACGTTGAGTCAGAGGGACTGCATGCAGTGAAGAGGATCAAACTGGAGAGCACACGGACACAGAGGGCTGTTATTCAAGAGGCGGAGATCATTAAAAAGCTGAAGCAGCCTCACATAGTGCACTGCAGCGAGGCTTTTGTGAGCCCCGATGACGGCTTTATTTATATTGTGATGGACTACTGCGATGGAGGGACATTAGATGACAGAGTCCAAGAGAGGAAACCGAACGACTTCTTCACGGAGAGTACGGTCATGGGCTGGTTTGTGCAGGTCGCTCTGGCTGTGAGTTACATACATGAAGTGAAAATACTTCACAGAGACATCAAAACCTCAAATGTGTTGCTCACAAAACAAGGCGTGGTGAAGTTGGGTGACTTTGGGGTATCCAGAGTGATGACCAACACAGCTGACATGGCCTCCACATGTGTGGGAACTCCCTATTACCTGAGCCCAGAACTCTGCCAGGATGTGCCTTACAGCTCCGAGTGCGACATCTGGGCTCTGGGCTGCCTGCTCTATGAGATCTGTGCTCTCACGCCTCCATTCGCAGCCTCCAACCTCCTCAGTCTCTACTGCAAGATCACCAAAGGAGAGTACGAACCGGTGCCTGAACTTTACTCTCCAAACATCTCTTCTTTAATCCAGAGAATGTTAAACATTCAACCCCAAAACAGGCCGAGTGCTGCCCGTATAGTTGACAGCACCTTTGTGCAAGATCACTTACGGCACGTTCAGTGTAACTATACGCTGAATAATGAGGATGATGTGGAAGAGGGCTGTATCTGTGCTGGTGGCCAGAGTCCCTGCGGCTGCACCTACCCTGATGATTTTGATGAGGATGAGGAGCGAAATTCTTCATTGGAGGAACAAAGCCAACAATCGTTCTTATCAACAAGGAGACACTCTGCCGAGTGCCTCGGTAATTCACAATGGAACACTGAAACACCGTAGAGCAGCAATAGAGCACATCACTTTGATTAGCTGTTCGGTGGCTCAGCAAATATTGCTTTTTACTTGGATGAGTATGAGTGTGCTGGGCATTATTCTGGATATGTGTGAATTTTATTTCATGAAAGCCTGACAGAGTGTGATAAAGAATGACGGACGACGTACGGCCACTGCTGGCCACGCCACGTTGAGCTGTTTTGTCACCCCACTGAAAAATTTCTGGCTGCTGCACTGACCCATCAACTTAAAACCAAAGTAGCTACCGAACCCTGATTTTTGGCACCCCCTTTTCAGGTCTACAATAGTTTTACATTTTTCATCATAGTTTTTACTTTATTACTTTTTTTTCAGTTGGTTTCAATTACTTTTTAGAGTTCATTTTTTTAAAGCTTCATTTTGGTTGAGTTTTTATTCGTTTTAATATATAGAGCATTTGTCAAGTGCAAGGAAAAAAAAAAAGATCACGTAAGGTAAACTAAATTCAACCTTCCTCCTTCTTCTACATCCTTAATGAGGACGAGAACTATAGAAAATAGATGGATGAGGTTGAAGTAAAGGCACACAGGTGCTTCCACAACAAACTCATCCAAGCAGAGCCAGGGAGTGTTCTCATTTAGTTGCAAACATGTTGTCCACAATATCTCAGCAAGTTGAAGTTTCATTTATTCTGGGACAAATTCATGGTCTAAAGCAGTGGTTCTTAACGTGGGTTCGATCGAACCCCAGGGGTTCAGTGAATCGGTCTCAGGGGTCCGACAGAGCTTCTGCCATGGAGGTTAAGACATACCTAACTCAACGTGTCAATTAGTTATGACACGCCTGCTTGGCCATCAGTGGCTGCAAATGATCACATGACATTGCTTGTTCAATCAGTGCTGTCGGAAATTTAGTTCACTTCGTAGTCAACGTGGGACTGTCGTGATAGTACGTCGTTCAATTTAAAAAACCTACACTTATACCATGTAATTTTATTTACTTTTTTGTTTTAAAAAATGTGTTTTTTTTAATGTCTTAAATTTGTAAAAAATCATATTTTCATTTGTCACTAATGAAGGGTTCGGTGAACGTGCATATGAACTGGTTTGTTTCGGTACCTCTAACAAGGTTAAGAACCACTGGTCTAGAGTCTAGCCCAACCATTCGTTGCGTAATTCATTTCTCAAGAGGTATGACAAAATACATTTGTCTATAAAGTATGTGAAATGCATTCAATTCGATAGGCTCGGTTGCCTATTTGTTTTCTGTGACTATTAATTTGTGTGATGGTTTTCAGATTTTCCAACCACGTATTTTGGGGAAGGGGATAATTATAGTTTTCATTTTTCATCCCATTTTTGGGGGGCTTTAGACTGCTAAAATAAGACTTACTCAAGGGAAACTATCAAAGAAGTTTCCAGGGGGAACTCAAAAGTGTCTCAACAGAAACAAAAAGCTTGACTTCAGGAGTGTTTAGCATACTTGACCGTAAGGTAGAAGTTTACAGCTGACATAAATGTGGTGAATGAAATGGAAACGTGTACGAAACCACCAGTTCCTCAAAACTGCAACACAATGTCACTCTGACAAGAATGTCTACCTCTGCTTCATAGTCAGATAGACTCAGATGCGGTGTGGGTAAAAGAAGTAAGCCCCTGACATATGGCAGAATTTACACACAAGCCTAGTTTCGAGCGTCTCAATTTTTCAATTAGAGCACAAATGCAATCTTAGACCTACTTATTTCCCAGATACATTTCAGCATTCTATTTCCATTTTTAAAAAAATCATATTCTTTTCATGAAGGACTTTGTCATGAAGCCAGTCTGAAGACATGTTTGTATCAAAACCTCTTGAACAAATTAATGTCCATTCTCTCTTGCAGTTTTTTTACAGTGTTGCCAAGACATTGAGGACCAAGTGGAGTATCCGGATGACTTTGAGGAAGATGAGGAAAAGGACGAGTGTGCAGGCGTGTCATATGCAAATCACATTCCCGCTTTCGACCACGATGATTCCCTGGATGAGTTTCAGCTCTGCGATGCAGGAGGAATGGTCGTCACACTGAAGGCTTTGAAGGAAACGGGCTAAAAATGTATTTTTGAACAGACGGGAATGTTTGGGTACATGCTCTTCATCATGAAAAGGGCCTTTCAGGGCAGAGTCTCTTTCCAGAACGTATGTGGCTGCATTGTTGCTGTTCTAACACTTGCTGGAGCCAAACATACCCGACCATGAGCGCAGTTGTGTTCAGAGGATCAATGGACAACTGTCATTTGGCCATTGACTCGGGTTTTATTAGGACCAGGATTAAATCTGTATGCATGCGTGGCTGAAAAAAAAAATGAACGAATGCAAATATTTATTCTTGTTGTTGTAGGACCACGCGATGAAGGAAGAGATACGTTTGAGGATACACACAAGTTAGAGTCGATGGGTAGTGCTGCAACATTTCGAGAACCTTTTTTTGTTGTTTTTTTTTTTTTTTTTTGCTACATTTCAATGTGAAATGAATGAAGATGGTGAATTTTATCAAATGAGAAACTTTCTATGGGAGTTTGGGGGAAGTGATAGGTTGATATATAAGTAGAAAATGTAAAAATGTTGTTCTGTCATAAACGGACATCCATGAAAAATAGACGTACCTGCATGAAGTCTGGTTGGTTTAGCCAGGTTTATGTCAAACTATATTTTTTATCCTCAAACCATTTTCACAGTAAATTGCTTATAATGAGACAACCTTCAATCATTTTCAATTCCGGTTTATTCCCTTTTCTTCTCATAAATTCCTGTTGATTCTCAACAATTTCCTCGAATTCCCATGAAAGCTGACATCTCTTTCCACCATTCAATGGCACGAATGCTGCTGTTTAACTGTATTCATGAGGGCTGCATCTACCAATTATTTTAAGAATTGATCAATCTGTCGATTAATCGATGAATCGGATTTTTAAAAGACATGCTTTTGATTTGCATCGCTTCATTAAAAACATGACATATTTGAAACTGATTATGATTCACTTACTGGTTTGATCCCTAACATCTCAGAAAGGGCTAAATATGTTGATCATTGTTTCCCAAAGTAAAAGCAAATGTTTGATTTGGATTTAAGACAAAGATATCCAGTCCACGTTCATGGAAGACCCCAGAATGTGGGTAATAGTAGAGGCTGAAATTCTGAGCATTTGGACCATTTTAAACTAAAAAAAGGTCTAAACAATCCATCGATGATCACAAATCGTTTTAGATTGATTTGATTTTTGATTAGTTGTTGATTAATCAGTTAATCGTTGCACGTCTAGTGTTTTATTCGCATTGTGTTAACATGGAACAAGTGTGTTCTACCTCATGGAGGTAATCTGCATTCAACCGTCATAGATAATGTCCTCTTTGCAAAACATCTGAAAGCTGAAAGTCAAGAATACGTCATACTATATGTTGGTGGTTGTAGATCTTCGTCTCATTAGTTTCTCATAACTATTATGGATGAAATGTCACTTCGTGCGAACTGTGAAGTTGGTTGACTCACTGGCACCAAAGCCTACACGGGCAGATACCAATGGAAACCAGTCAACTGAAGCCTCAGAGAAAATTCCTTTTTCCAGAAAAAATATGTACATAAAAGGTTTTTCTGGAAGCAGATTCACCACGATTGTATGTAGCTTGTTAAACACATGCACGCAAAACAAACATCCTTGCAATAATTGTAAGCATCGGTTGCACTTTTTGAACATCCAAATGTGATAAACTCTCACATAGGAAACACATCGAGATGGCTAAATTGTCTTTGTATGTCCCAGCCCACTGAACGTCTGAACGGAAATGTCAGATTGGTGGTTTATCACCACACAATCTCTCAAGAGATTATCGTTTCACCCACATGCATTACACTTGGAAAACACATGCATTTCTTTTTCCATCCTAACAGCATTAGGTCAACATAGTTTCCTTCATGGCCATCCCTCCCACAGAAAGTGTATCCACGATGACGACGGATGAGTCATCGTGAGAGTTGGACGGTAATCCACGATTAGTTTGTGATGCACGTGGCAACTGGGAACCTCGATCAGTTTTTGTACGACAGTTTGAGGCAGAACCTCAGTCATCATATCATCCATCACTCACAACATTTTTCGTAATGATTTAAAATGAAGTCATTTTTTTATCTCTCTGTTTTGGAGGTGAGGATGGGTCTGCTGGCCTCAACGCTCGTATATCATCAACACTTGACTACATTTTCACCGAAATTCAAAATTCTAATATTTTTGTTTGTCCATGGATTTTAATCATTTATTCCCAACAGTCTATTCTCTTTGTTTCCTAGCGTTTCTCTTGGCTGCACTGCTTTCAGTACCATTTATGTGCATCATCGATTTTTTTTTTTCTTTGTCCAATCAGAAATCAGCCTCACTGTGCTTCCAGGTCACTCTTATCTGCCCAGAGCCCTCCAGAATCAGAAATTCTGGTGAATTTAAACTAACTTACCAGAGTGCTGCTTCTTTAACCAATCTGATATCAAAATTATCCTCACTAGGACTGCTCCCGTCAGCATTCTTCCGTCTTCTGATTGGTTGGACAGAGCAAAACTTTTTACAGCCACCTTAAATAGCAAAACACGTTTCTAGCGATCTGTCCACATTCATACATTGAATAATTGACATTTTTGGTGAGTACGGAATATTGTATGGCAATTTGATATGCATTTGTCATAGGGCAGTACGGTTGTGAGGTGAAAATTTGAATTTGGGCCCTACCTTCCTGTGTACTACGGTTCCCTGCCACTTTCTAAAAACATGGCTGTTCGGTTGATTGAAGAATCAAAATTGTCCGCTGGTTTGAATGTGAGTGTCAATGATTGTTTGTCTACTGTATATGTACCCAGTGATTGGTTGGCGACTTTATTGCGCCAAAATCTGCCTGGATAGTTTCCAGCACACCCGTGAAGGTAATTCATTTAGTTTGAAATCATGTCAAGGTGGGTCACACATCCTCTAGTTTTCCTTAAATGGAATATTTTTTAAAAAATCTGGTGCACAGGACAACATTTCAGTGTTTTTCACCGGGGAGAATAAATACTTGAAGGCCGTGTCTCACTGAGTGGCGAAGGCTTGCAAGTGTGTGCCTACCTCCCCAATGTTGTTTTTTCATCACGGATCATTCATGGTCGCATCTGTTCGCAAAGACAACAATTTTATTGCCGTCTACCGTTCACCAAACGGCAAGCGACTGAACTAAAGAACCGAGAAATGCTGACAGAACAGTGTGTGTGTGAATTACTGTCGAGGTCACACGGAAAGACTCATACCCCCTGTCTTAAATCAGTGGCACCCTTGATTACCAACCTCAACGGTCCTGCTGGTGGAGCTGACTTGCTCACTTTGCAAAGCGGCTCTTAGCATGCGGAGTTGGAACTAGAAGCATGTCCCAAGACTGCATTCTCCAGAGGCCAAGGACTACGGCATCGTCATGCCTCAAGCTGCGCAGCTTTCTCTTTCTGGCATCCAACTACCACCGCTTCAAGAAAGGATTTTGCTAACATCGCCAGCCCATTGCATCGGCTGACTAAAAAGGCTGGCACACTTTGACATAGTCACACTGTGGGACAATCTAATGAAAATAATCGAAAAAATATATATTTATGTATTCCTTGCTACTATTGAAGTGTCCATTGTACTGTTTTAGATTTCCTTATACATGTATGGGGTTTGTGTACAAAATGTCTTCGCAGTAAGGATCAGTCCAGTCACGACCACACAGATGAAATATTAAACACATGCACATGAGAAAGTTGTGAAAAGTGTCACTACATCCTGCAAATATCCCCCTCCTTCGAGGCAACTCTCAAAGCAACATCCGCACACTCATCACACTGCCCTTCCACTGATGGTGTCAGACAAATGCACCACAGTTGTTTCCAGGATGACATTCAGACGCAGCGGCTGCATTGCATGAGTCACAAAACAGCAACTCCATCAACTAGCATTAAAAAATACACTATCGCATTGGAGGTACAACAAAATAAGAGTAATAAAATAATAAGATTTAATCATGACTTTTTTTGCACATGAGAGATAAGCACAGGTGTTTTCGTTTTCTTTTCACTCATATATTTTGTCATCTTGTGTCTCATACTAAGAAAAGCAGAACTGAGTACTTTGATTCATGTTTTAGAATCAAACAAATGTTTAGTTTTTCTATAGAATAGCATGGCAAAGGGCGTTTTTTTGGTGGGGTTGTTTTGTATACAATCGGACTACATGCATTCTCCCATCCAGACTTTTGACACACCTGCCAAGTCTGCCATGCATCGCAAACATGAGTACAGCCATCAGAGGCGCAACGCAGCGAAGTATGAGGCTGGCCGTAAATCATGGAGCATGGCGTTTTCCTGACAATAGTGAATGTCTGAAATCCATTTGAAAAATGCTTTAAAGATGAAAATACCTGTAAGAATATGAGATGTGTTCTTTGAATGTGTTTATTTCTTCATTTTACTTCGTATGAAATAATACAGGGCAGCACGGTGGGAAACCGGTTGGCACATCAGCCTCACAGTGTGGAGGTGTGGGGTTCGATTGCAGGCCTCGGCATTTGCATGTTCTGCCTATGCCTGCGTGGCTCTTCTCCAGTTTCCTCCCCAAAAACATGCATGGTGGGTTCATTGCATTCTTTAAATTGTCCTTGGGTGTGATAGTGAGCATGAATGGTTGTTTGTCTACGTGTGCCCAGCAATGGGCTGGCAACCAATTCAGGGTGTGCTCCACCAACAGCCCGAAGACCGCTGGGACAGGTTCCAACATGCCCGCAATCCTTGGGACAATAAGCAATGTGTAAGTAATAAACTGAAATTGATGGGAGAATGTGCGCAGCCGAAAAAGTGCGCTGTAGTAGCGTTCCTTTTTGTACTGAAGCACACAGAATTCGTGTCCAGAATTCAGATTGTACCATTGTCTATTAGTAATCCACTCTATGCTAAAGCAGTAGTAACACCCTCAAATGAAAAATACTAAGTTCAGCGGTGAGCGTGGCTTGTTAGATGGCATGGTAACGTATATTCTTACACCACCTGCCTTCCGTAACCATGAAATGAAATGTCTTGTAAAACCTGAGGACCCACCTGTAAACACCCTGTGCTCTGTGCAACTGAGTAACTCAACAACGGGGATGATAGCGATCAAAGGGGCAAAGGAGAGTAGCTTGATGCTTGCTACGAGAAGAGTTCAGTTTTGTGTGGAGACTCAAAGAGACATGACTTGGAGATCGTCTCCTCTTCTCCCCATTGGACGTTTTTCCACATGGCCCTGCGGGACAGAATTAATCAGCTTGTATGATACAAATTTCAGTTTAAA